CAACAGGGCACGAGGAGCAGGACTCGGTTGGATCGCTGGTGTAGTTGAAACCGATCGATCCACCAACTGGGCACAAGGAGCAGGGGTCGGCCGGACCACCAACAAGGCTGATGTCGGTCGGTCGTCTGACGGGGCACGAGGAGCAGGGGTAGGCTGGACCACAGGCGGAACAGATACCGGTCGGACCACCAACGGGGCATGAGGAGAAGGGGTCGGCCGGGCCAACTCTAACAACCTGTTAGAGTTGTTTGAGCATTTTCTAAGCAGCTTTTTCTTCTGGGTTCTTCTTAGAACATTAAGACAGAATGAAAAGTGTTGAACTTGTTTGTGTGGGGCAAAGCAAAGATTGTGGAGTAGCTGAGCAGAAGGAACAGAGCAGAGAAATCTGCAGATGATGACGTTATAAATGCTCCGTACTTGTATAGCGCCTTTCTAGTCTTTTCGACCACTCAAAGCGCTTTTACACTACATCTGCATTCACCAGTCACACACATTCATACACTGAGCCTAAGTGCTCAAACGGAAACTAACATTCACACTCACTCATACACTGGCGGAATAGCCGCCAGGGGCAATTCGGGGTTCAGTATTCAGTAGTATCTTGCCCAAGGACACTTCGACACGCAACCAGGGGGAGACAGGGATTGAACCGCCAACCTTTCAATTAAAAACCAACCCGCTCTACCTCCTGAGCCACAGCCGCCCCAAGTTGTGCTGTTGTTTGGAAACATGTTGAAAGTGTTCAGACGTGGAGAACAAGTGTGACAGAGTATTAAATGGAAATGTGCTGGTGAACTTGCTGCAGTCTGTGCTGGTAGAAAGATGTGTTCTGTTGTTAATGATGAACTGATGTTGGAGTTGTGCTGAGTCCACCTTGAATCACTGAATTGTTGTTTCATGACATGTTTTTCTTTTGTGTCTGCTGTCTTTATCTCTATTTCATCTTCTATTATCCCTCCAGACTCTGTCAGGCTGCTGGACGGGACTAGTCTGTGCTCAGGCAGACTGGAGGTGAAGTCTAACCAGTCTAACCAGTCTAACCAGTGGTGGTCCTCAGTGTGTGAAGCTGACTTTGACCAGCAGGATGCAGAGGTGGTCTGTAGGGAGCTCGGCTGTGGGGCTCCTTCAGTCCTCCAGGGGGCGCTCTATGGAGAAGTGGAGGCTCCGATGTGGACCAAAGAGTTCCAGTGTGGAGGCCATGAGTCTGCTCTCCTGGACTGTAGAAGCTCAGGCTCAGCTAGAAACACCTGCTCACCTGGAAAAGCTGTTGGACTCACCTGCTCAGGTAGAAGAGGAGCTGCAGCTTTGATTTGCTTCATTTCTGTTCTGATGAAACTCACTTTATTGTTTTACTGATGACTCTCTGGTTTCTGTTCAGAGCCTGATGATGTCAGGTTGGCCAGAGAAGCCAGTCGCTGTGCAGGAACACTGGAGGTGAAACATGAGGGAGACTGGAGACCAGGGAGTGTCTCTGTCTGGACCCTGAAGACAGCAGCTGGTGTCTGTAGAGAGCTGGACTGTGGCTCTGCTGTTTCTGTAGGACAGAGAAAGGAGTCCTCAGACAGACCTGTGTGGTGGATCAGCTCTGACTGTGTTCAGTCTGGATCTGCTCTGAGGGAGTGTGTATCATCAACTTCCTCTTCCTTCATCCTGATTGTTACCTGCTCAGGTAAGCCCATCAGTGACACCATCTATGACAGGGGTCTCAAACTCCAGGCCCGCAGGCCACATACGGTACTCTGTACCCCTCGGTCTGTCCCGCGGGGTGATTGGGGAAAAAAAATCTGGCCAGCCAAATTATTATTTTTAAATTATATTTATAGTTGTTTCATGTCAAATCAGCTACCAATTTGTTTGTCATGGCAAAGGTGAAAGGTAAGGTGGCCTCAAATGCCCACTATTGGGTGAAGAAGAAAGATGTTGCTGTTCAAATTGAAACGTAAGGTGGATGATAAGCAAAGGTTGTTTCAAGAAAGATGGACAAAGCAGTAGCTTAGGATATTTTTTGGAGTTTAACAGTAAAAATTACCTGCCTGATATGCAACGAAAAAGTTACCATTTTAAAGAAATATAATATCAAATGTCATTTATGGACTAAACACGGAGAGCAACAAGAAGTACCAGGGAGATGAAAGGACAACAGCCACGCAGCTACAGAGAGGATTTATATCTCTGCCAAATCTTTTTCATAAAGCCAAGAAGAGTGCTGAAACTGCATTACTCACTTGTAGTGTAACATCCATCCATCCATCCATCGTCAACCACTTATCCTGTGTACAGGGTCACAGGGGGCTGGAGCCAATCCCAGCTGACATCGGGTGAAAGGCGGGGTACACCCTGGACAGGTTGCCAGTCCATCGCATCGTTGTCTGTTGCAAATGGTACTTATTGACTTGCAGTGTAACAATGAACTAAAAACCACATTCAGGGAGGCACAGGAAAAAGCAGATCATATTGGACAATTTCTGAGACTTACTGTATCTCCATCCTTCCCAGAACTGTCCAAAGTGTAAGATTGTTTTCTCAACTATGAACTGAAAAGTACAGGTCCAGACTTACTAACTGATGCCCATATTGAAGCTGTAGCTACTCAGGGTTCCAACTGCAACCTCCGTCAAGGCAACGTATGTTTTGTACTTTTTGAATTCAGTACAATTATCAGACAGCTTTAATTCACAATGTATTTCAGAAAAACACATGAAAATGTTCAAAATATTTTGGTTATGGTAATAAAATAAGTACATTTTGAGAATATTGCTCTTTCTTGGAGTACTGCTGCTGTGGCCCTCCTATGAGAACACAGTACCAAAGTGGCCCCTGGATGATTTGAGTTTGAGACCCCTGATCTATGATATAATGTATGACAGTAAAGTTTCCAGTGTATTCTCTCCTCTGCCTCAGTGTCAGCCAGTGGTTTCCATTGGACTAAACTGTGAAGTTCTCCAGGACAATGACGTCCTAAAGTGGGATTGTTTATATCTTTTCTTTCATCTCATATCTTACGTGGCAGTGCCCATGTTGGCTGCGGCTGCATCGGCTCACAATTAAAACACCAATAGAGAATAGGTTAGGATGTAGTATAGCGAGGAGTCACAGTTATACAATCATCAAAGCAGGTTGTTACTGAACATGGACATTAGCACAGTGGAATTATTATATTTGACCTTATATTATTGGACCTCGGCTTGCTGCATTCACCAGGAAAGGCCTACACCAACTGGGCATGAGGAGCAGGAGTTCGCCGGACCACCGACAGGGCTGGTGTCGATCGGTCCTCCGACAGAGGACGGCGGGCACGGGAGTCTGCCCGACCACTGATGGGGCACGAGGAGAAGGGGTCGGCCGGGCCACCAATGGGGCTGGTGTTGGTCAGTCTTCCGACAGGACACGAGGAGCAGGGATCGGCTGGACCATCAACGGAGTTGATGTCGGTCGGTCGGTCCTCCGACTGAGGACCAGTTTGGACAGTGACCACCCCAGTGAGATCAGGTACTAAGGTCTCTCGGGAGTTTGATATCTGCAGTGTAATTGGGCTGGGTCATGGGAGACTTTACACCAAGGGCAGGTGGCGGGTGTTGATGTTTGTGGGAACCATGATGGCCACGTCTCCTCCTATGACCACCACGGAACCCAGAGAAGATGGCCAGGCGAGTCCACTCAAACAGATGGTGGTGGTCAAGGTTTTTTGCTGCCCAGGAGGCAGACTGACCATCAGGAGGGACAGTCTGGAGGCTAGCGGTGCTAGCGGGCCGGGGATCAGGAGGGGCAGACTGGGGACTAGCGGCGCTAGCAGGCCCAGGACTAGGAGGGACTAGCAGCTCTAGCGGGCTGGGGAACTGGGCTGGGGGCTAGCAGAGCAAGGTGTGGCACAAACAGGCATGGACGATGGTAGAGGACCAGCAGGCCCCATGCTAAGGCCAGCATTAGGAGCACTGGGGAAGTTCAGAGCTGTAAGCAGGGCTCCTTTGAGAAGGTCTGCCTCCAAAACCACCCTTGCCACACCAGGAGCTTTCATAAGGCAAAACTGTCGGTCTAGAGCCTTCTCAAAACGGGCTATCGCCTCCAGCGTCTCATGACAATTCTCAAAACACAAACAATAAATCGTCCATGATTTCCAAAAACAAGTTCTCAAGGTCCGTGGGATTGGTGGGGGGGGTGAGGGTGAACGTGCTGGGTCCATGTTGACTTGATCATTCTGTTGTTTGTTGGACAGAGAAGACCCAAATGCAACACAACGACTAAAAAAAGGTTTTTTTAAGGGAAAAAGAGCTGGGGGAGTGGCGGTGAGGAAGAGGTGGATGCCGGGGGAACACGGGCATGGGGGACTGAGGAGCAAGTAGGGCAGAGGGGGCTGAGACGAGGGAGCTGGGGGGCACCGGGGACTGAGGAAGAGAGGAGGCACGGGAGAACTGACCGGGGGGTTGGTGGAGGAGTGTGGTGGCACCAGGTCAGCAGCAACAACGATCAAGCGGAGATTGTGTGGAGAACCAGGGTTGAAATACAGGCAGAGATGGAGAAAGGAGAAATAAACACTCACTAACAGCCAGCCGGGCTGCCACCACAACATCATGCTCGTAATTTCGTACATGCTTTCCATTTTTCTGTGTTTTGCTGACACTATCATCAATCATGACAGAGGTGGCCTTGTCTGTCATCGCTCTGCTCCATGTTTGTTACCTGTGTCAGACCTGTGAAATCACTTCCTTCTTTAGGTGCCATTTTGTTGAACGGAGTGTGAATGTGACCTTTCATCATCTGTGTGTTTACAGACCTGCTGCTTCAGCCCAACATCTCTCTGGCCTCCTCCATGGACAGGGTCTCCGAGGCCCAGCAGCAGGGCTTTCAGGTGTCCAGGGGCTCCAACTTCACCATCAGCTGCTCCATCCAGCCACAGTACCCAGGAGGCTCCTTCCAGCTCGCCTCCTCCATCACGTCACACAACTACACCCAGCCAGCTGTCAATCACTCTGTCGACTTCCTGTTCCTGCTGCAGAGCCCGCCACCAAGGAAGCTACAGCTGTGTTTATCACCTCTTGGTTTTTTCTCATAACTTCTCCTCTGAGAGCCGTCGGCTGTCGCTCACTGTCTCAGGTAAGCTGAAGCAGAGCAGCTGAAACGTTGCACTGACTGAACATGATCAGCTGACAGTTTCCAGCATGTTGTGTTTCTGAGTGACACTGTGACTGCTGTCATGGCGCTGAGAGCTCAACACACTGGAAACTGAGCTGACATGTAAGTTTTGGTGGCATGTCCCTGCTGTGCCTGATGTGTTCATCACTAGTATCCCCCGGAACCAGTTTCCATTGTCTTCTGTGCTAAATGCAGCAGTTGTGTAGGCTATTTGGTTTTTTTTTCACTCTGCAGCATTTTTTCTAAATGCTATGTATGTGTTACGAGGAGATCTACTGTTTGTTGCTAGCACTAGCCAAAGCCGTTTTGTCTCTGGGCTTTGCAGTTGGGAAAGGCAGGGGTCGGTTTTTGAGGCCACCGACACCCTGAAGCTCTGTTGCAGAGTTATTGATGGAGTAGTCACAGTCAGTAGTCACAGAGTCAGTGAGCGATGCCTGGGCATGTTTAACTCCCACTCAGAGATGCAGAGGACCTGCTTACTAGTGTGGTAGGGAAACACCCACGTCAGCCCACATGTAAAAGTCTCACCAAAGTCAAGTTTTATTTCTGCAGGCCATAAGGCAGGCCTGAATACCATGTTTTGAGCTTTGGAGCTTGGGTAGTAATCTACAATAAATATTTAAAGATTAACATTCGTGCAACACCTGGTTGCCTAGCAACGGCCGTTATAGGTTATATACAGGTGCTGGTCATATAATTAGAATATCATCAAAAAGTTGATTTATTTCAGTAATTCCATTCAGAAAGTGAAACTTGGATATTATATTTATTCATTACACACAGACTGATATATTTCAAATGCTTATTTCATTTAATTGTGATGATTAAAACTGACAACTAATGAAAATCCCAAATTCATTATCTCAGAAAATTAGAATATTACTTAAGACCAATACAAAAAAAGGATATATAGAAATGTTGGCCAACTGAAAAGTATGAACATGAAAAGTATGAGCATGTACAGCACTCAATACTTAGTTGGGGCTCCTTTTGCCTGAATTACTGCAGCAATGCGGCGTGGCATGGAGTCCATCAGTCTGTGGCACTGCTCAGGTGTTATGAGAGCCCAGGTTGCTCTGATAGTGGCCTTCAGCTCTTCTGCATTGTTGGTCTGGCGTATCGCATCTTCCTCTTCACAATACCCCATAGATTTTCTATAGGGTTAAGGTCAGGCCAGTTGGCCAATTAAGAACAGGGATACCATGGTCCTTAAACCAGGTACTGGTAGCTTTGGCACTGTGTGCAGGTGCCAAGTCCTGTTGAAAAATGAAATCTGCATCTCCATAAAGTTGGTCAGCAGCAGGAAGCATGAAGTGCTCTAAAACTTCCTGGTAGACGGCTGCGTTGACCTTGGACCTCAGAAAACACAGTGGACCAACACCAGCTGATGACATGGCACCCCAAACCATCACTGACTGTGGAAACTTTACACTCTTCCTCCAAACTCTGGGACCTTGATTTCCAAAGGAAATGCAAAATTTACTTTCAACTTTGGACCACTCAGCAGCAGTCCAGTCCTTTTGTCTTTAGCCCAGGCGAGACGCTTCTGACGCTGTGTCTTGTTCAGGAGTGGCTTGACACAAGGAATGCGACAGCTGAAACCCATGTCTTGCATACGTCTGTGCGTGGTGGTTCTTGAAGCACTGACTCCAGCTGCAGTCCACTCTTTGTGAATCTCCCCCACATTTTTGAATGGGTTTTGTTTCACAATTCTCTCCAGGGTGCGGTTATCCCTATTGCTTGTACACTTTTTTCTACCACATCTTTTCCTTCCCTTCACCTCTCTATTAATGTGCTTGGACACAGAGCTCTGTGAACAGCCAGCCTCTTTAGCAATGACCTTTTGTGTCTTGCCCTCCTTGTCAAGGTGTCAATGGTCGTCTTTTGGACAGCTGTCAAGTCAGGAGTCTTCCCCATGATTGTGTAGCCTACAGGGCTAGACTGAGTGTGTGGCACCAGGTGTCTTCAAAATTGAACCTTTTCACAATATTCTAATTTTCTGAGATACTGATTTTGGGGTTTTCATTAGTTGTCAGTTATAATCATCAAAATTAAAAAGGAATGAACACTTGAAATATATCAGTCTGTGTGGAATGAATGTATACATTATACAAGTTTCACTTTTTGAATGGAATTACTGAAATAAATAAACTTTTTGATGATATTCTAATTATATGACCAGCACCTGTGTGTGTATATATATATACACTGCTCAAAAAAATAAAGGGAACACTAAAATAACACATCCTAGATCTGAATGAATGAAATAATCTCATTAAATACTCCTTTCTTTACATAGTTGAATGTGCTGACAATGGAAATCAAATTTATCAATCCATGGAGGTCTGGATTCGGAGTCCACACTACAGGCCGATCCAACTTTGATGTAATGTCCTTAAAACAAGTCAAAATGAGGCTCAGTAGTGTGTATGGCCTCCACGTGCCTGAATGACCTCCCTACAATGCCTGGGCATGCTCCTGATGAGGTGGCAGGTGGTCTCCTGAGGGATCTCCTCCCAGACCTGGACTAAAGCATCCGCCAACTCCTGGATAGTCTGTGGTGCAACGTGGCGTTGGTGGATGGAGCGAGACATGATGTCCCAGATGTGCTCAATTGGATTCAGGTCTGGGGAACGGGTGGGCCATTTCATAGCAATGGCTTCAATGCCTTTCTCTTGCAGGAACTGCTGACACACTCCAGCCACATGAGGTTTAGCATTGTCTTGCATTAGGAGGAACCCAGGGCCAACCGCACCAGCATATGGTCTCCCAAGGGGTCTGAGGATTCCATCTCAGTACCTAATGGCAGTCAGGCTACCTCTGGCGAGCACATGGAGGGCTGTGCGGCCCCCCAAACAAAGGCCACCCCACACCATTACTGACCCACCGCCAAACCGGTCATGCTGGAGGATGTTGCAGGCAGCAGAACGTTCTCCACGGCGTCTCCAGACACGTCTGTCACATGTGCTCAGTGTGAATCTGCTTTCATCTGTGAAGAGCACAGGGCGCCAGTGGCGAATTTGCCAATCTTGGTGTTCTCTGGCAAATGCCAAACGTCCTGCACGGCGTTGGGCTGGAAGCACAACCCCCACCTGTGGACGTCGGGCCCTCATACCACCCTCATGTAGTCTGTTTCTGACCGTTTGAGCAGACACATGCACATTTGTGGCCTGCTGGAGGTCATTTTGCAGGGCTCTGGCAGCGCTTCTCCTGCTCCTCCTTGCACAAAGGCGGAGGTAGCGGTCCTGCTGCTGGGTTGTTGACCTCCTACGGCCTCCTACACGTCTCCTGATGTACTGGCCTGTCTCCTGGTAGCGCCTCCATGCTCTGGACACTATGCTGACAGACATAACAAACCTTCTTGCCACAGCTCGCATTGATGTGCCATCCTGGATGAGCTGCACTACCTGAGCAACTTGTGTGGGTTGTAGACTCCGTCTCCTGCTACCACTAGAGTGAAAGCACCGCCAGCATTCAAAAGTGACCAAAACATCAGCCAGGAAGCACAGGAACTGAGAAGTGGTCTGTGGTCACCACCTGCAGAACCACTCCTTTATTGGGGGTGTCTTGCTAATTGCCTATAATTTCCACCTGTTGTCTATTCCATTTGCACAACAGCATGTGAAATTGATTGTCAATCAGTGTTGCTTGCAGTGTGATTGACTTGGAGTTACATAGTGTTGTTTAAGTGTTCCCTTTATTTTTTTGAGCAGTGTAGATTATACATATAGCTAGATCTATTTCTTTGATAGATGGATAGATCGGAGCAGAAGTTCTGGCACAGGCAATGACTTGAGAGAGGGAGAATCAGATGCGGGAGAGATAACGTGTGTGTGTGTGTGTGAGAGAGAGAGAGAGAAAGTGCTCTCTTTCTTCATTCTCATGGTGTAGGTTACCAAAACGTTGTTAAGGTTAGATTGGTAGGCTAGCAGACCCAAGTGCAGGACGAAGAAAGGGACGAAACTGGAGATAGATGAATATATATTGCAGGGTTGAAGGGACGGGATATTGAGCCGGGGAAGAGCGAAGCAGTGTGGAAGGCTAGATGCCTGCAGAACCAGGTTGGTGGCTGCTGTGCAGGGCAGGGGGGATCCGTAGCAGAATGAGAGTGTGAGAGGCTGAGCCGAACAGGTCCAGAGCAGAATCCAGGTAGTATAGCTGGGGGGGGCCCAGGGAGACACAGGATAAACGCTTTCCTGTAGCGTTACTAAAACAATACATGCTTACTTTGCTTTTAACTTCGATTAACATTAAAATGTAGGCTATTTAACTTTTCTGTCTGCAATGAAAAAAATTGTAAAATTATTAAACCCATAACTGCCAAAATGCCAAAATCACTGAATTTAAAGTGCTCCCACACAGCTGAGGTTTTCAGTAGTTTGTTTTCCCTTCAAAGTGAACTGAAGCGTGATGTTCACTGCTGTAAAAGGTATGTCAGATGTGCGAAACAAAACAAATAATGAAATCACAAAATTAAAAATAGAATAGACAGAAAAATATTCAGATATTCAGGTCTGTACAACAAAGGACACCCTCTGTCCTTAGAGACTCGATTCAGATAAACAAATTTTTAGGCAGTAAATAGATCTCTTTACAGAGTAGACAGATGGACCATATTGAGTTCGAATGTTTACGAAGTAATTATGAAGTGGAATTAGTGAAGATTAAGAGATAAGTCTCTGTCAGACAAATCTGGGAACCCATTGTCTGTCGCCTGACGATTTAAATGCAGATACATTTTTAAATATTGCCGCAAGCGGCAATGATTGGGATCCAAGACAGTCGCGAAAAACGCAACATATGAAATTTTCAGAGGAGAAGAACAGACACAGACGACTTCAGAGATTAAAGTGATGAAAGAATTTGGACTTTGAGATAAATAAATAAAAAACTTGATTTTTATAGCATCACCAGAGAGTGTCATTATATGTATCTGACTACTGGGTGAAATGTTCAACCCATCTGCAACATTTTTTGTTTCCAAGATTTAAAGTTTAAGCTGCATAATCTTTTTAGCAGAGAAAAATAAGAAGAAAGTGTCTCGGGATCCAAAAATAGAGATCTTACACCCACTATGATCTGAACACCCCCATTGTGAGCAAGTCTGCTTCGATTACTTGGGGAGTTGAACCCTGGAGCTTCAGATGTCCAGAGTAGGTAACTTACTGACACACTCCTTTTCACAAGTTGAGGTAGTGACGTCACATGTGCCAGACCAGGTAGTTTTTTTCTGTTTAAACTTAAAACGCCTACAAGATGTTAGTGAGAAAATTCTGAACAAAATCACACATCATTCTGTGTGTGTGTGTTAATTATTTTGGTGGCCAAAACTGAGAAAAAAAGAAAATTTGTGCATACTGTACAAGTTACAGCAAGATACTAAATATCACTGCAGACTCACCATTTGACCATTTTTCATTTAGTCTATAGAAACATCACCTTTACTGTCTGTACCTCTGTGTGTATATTGTGTAGGCTGCCTCCCTCACCTCTCTCTCTCTCTCTCTCTCTCTCTCTCTCTCTCTCCTTCACCCCCAACCGGTCGAGGCAGATGGCCGCCCACCCTAAGTCTTAAAAGGAAGTTTTTCCTTGCCTCTGTCTCCTAGTGCTGCTCTTGGTGGGAACTGTTGGGCGTCTGTAAATAGCATCATAGAGTACGGTCTAGACCTGCTCTTTTATGAAAAGCGCTGTGAGATAACTGTTGTTGTTATTTGGCGCTATATAAATAAAATTGAATTGAATTGAACTGACCGATCTGAAAACCCTTTGAAACACTTTCTATCATCCATCTCGACTCTGTCGAGTTTGGTAGCGTTTGAAGAAAGACTTGTGGAGATATAGATGTAAATTGAATTAGCATATTCTGAAATGACTGACTTCTGAGTCGACCATAGGTTGCAGTGAGGCAACCGTTAGTCACAAATCAGTGGATGTGCTCTCTAGGACATACAGATGATTTTCTTTTTTGAAGATTAACGAGAAAAGTCTAGAAATTTACATTTTTGGTAATTAACCACGCCCACTTTGCGCAATCATTAATCAAATGACCAAATTTTGTACGAATCCATCCAGCGAATTACGAGGTATAAACTTTTTGCAAGTGTAGCTCCCCACCTAGAGGAAGAATATCCCAGGACTGCTCAGAGAAGCTCGGGCCGAGCATCTGAGCAGACACGTCAAGTTTGGTTACAATAGCTTAAGCCAATTTTGATTTACGGGCATTTATGTAAAATTTTATGTAAATACAAAAAAGTAAAAGTTTATGAAAAAAAACAGATTGACTTATCAAAATTCTTTTAAGAACTTTTGATCAGCGACGTCCGTAGATGAGTTTCAGGTCGATTGGCAAGACCATCTGGGAAGAGTTCGCAAAAATAGATTTTAGAGAAAAGTGATAAAAAGTCACCAGACCACTGGAGCAAAGATGCATGAGAATCCAGAGATGAAAATAATGAAAGACGTTGACTCTAAACAAAGCTGTTTTCAAGATAATTGCAAAAATGTAAAGTTGATTGTTGTAGCACCACCATGAGGTTTTTTGCCTGAGTAGTTGGTGGAATTTGTAACCTACGTGCCAGTTTTGATGAGTTTTCATCCAGCAGTTTTTGCTGCCAAAACAGAAAAAGATGAAAGAAAGAAATAAGAAGAATCAGAACAAAAACAAAAGCCAATTCATCATCAGACAATAGCCCATGGGTTCACAGATTGCATTTGGGCTGATGCGTTCCACCTCTTTTGCTCTTCACACAACCCACCGAGATGGTGGGGTTGTCTGACAGGAAGGATAGGCAGAGTTGCGTATCGTCTGCATAGCAGTGGTAAGAGAAGCTACTATAAATGGACTACAAGTGGAAACTAGAATACTTCCAATAGCTGATGGACTGATGGTGTGTGATGTGATGTCTGTCCATGTGTTTGATCAGATCCAACAGGTCTTCTCATCAAAGTGGTCGTCCTGCCGCTGACTCTGCTGTTGGTGATCGCTGCCCTTTGTTTCTACCGTAAGGTACTGACACACGTCTGTTGTTTAGAGGCCTGAGATGAAGCACTCGCTCTGTGTTTACTGACCTGAAGAAGAGGAGGAGTGATGCACTAACTCACATGTGTGTGCTGTCATGTCTCTCCAGGCCAGCAGGGGGCAGAAGCCGGGCAGGCAGGAGGACATCGAGCTGGATTATTATAGCCGGGTGTTTCTGCAGCTGAAGGAGGGCCGACTGAAGAGGAAGGAGCTCAGGGAGCAGAGTAGGACCTCCAAGGAGCTCATCTCAGCTGCCTCACAACCCACCATCAGCTCAGTCCAGGATTTTACTCTTTTCTAGTGATGTTCCCTTTAAACAATACAGCTGGAATTATTAGATTACATTAGACACTATTTTTATTATTCTCAACAAGAAAAGAGCAAAACCAACAGTGTGTTAGTCTTTTCAGACTTCTTGTCTGTGGCTCTCAGCTCCAAGCCCATTGGAAGACTATGCCTTTGGTGTGAGAGACTCGGGTTCAATCCCCCACTGTGACCCATCCGCCATTGTGTCCCTGAGCAAAACACTTAACCCCTCGTTGTTCCAGAGGCGTGCGACCTCTGACATGTATAGCAATTGTAAAGCGTCAGCTAAATGTAAATGGTTCCTATTGAAGACGTCACTCTTTAAAAAGTCCTCACAAATATATAGTTTCATTTTAAAACTAAGTATCGGGGTCCAAACACCCGGCACAATTCAGAAGCAAAGCCGCGCCGACCCAGGCTGATCTGGAAGTCCTTCTGGAACAATGTTGGCCGAGTCCTGTTCTATATTAAATTCAAATAAACGTGAAGCGTCGTAAAAACCTTGTCTTTGTTCTATTATTGTGTGGTGTCAGTGCATTACATCTGTTTGTTTGGACAAAATAAAGTCATCTTCAATCCTCCCGTGTCTTGTCCGCTGTGATGGAAATGTGATATTTTACTGGGGTTTTACCTTTTTATGCTGCATTATATCTGACCGTCCTTGATAGGCCTTCATCTCAGTTGGTTCCTACTCCCAGACTGGTTGCTCTCTGTACGTTTGTCTGACCTTTTGCAAAGAATAAAAGACTTTCAAAGACCTCAGGACTGAACTCTTTATTTCAAAAGACTCACTTAAGGTTTCATTGCCGTTACACTGATGACAATGTGGCCTGGCCGCCGCTGCTCATGCCTTGTTCAGAGCTAAGTAAGCAGATTTTTTGTTTTAGTGGCAGAAATATGGTAGAAGGAAGTTTTTTAACCTCTCCAAAGTTAGAAATCTAGCTTTTCTGTGGTCAAAAATGTATGGATTGATTGCAACATCATTGATATTAGACAATTCAACACAACGTTGTCTCTGAAAATGGCAGCCATATCTTGATTTTTGCGTGGCTAATAGGTTTTATCAAAATAACAGTCCCCACGGAGTATTTGTGCCAATTTTGGTAGTTCTTTCCACTCGTGAAAGATTTTCCTGCAAAAATGCAATTAGCTGCTCCGCTATAAAGAACCAGTTTATTATCTACTATGTTTTCTTATTTAACACAGAAATATGCACATTATATGTTGTTTTACTTGTGACTTTTGTTCTAAAGTAAAATATCAGCTACTGAAGACCCATCTCTATAAATTCAGTTACACTCTCTTGTATGTTTACCGGTTCAAATATAACAAATGAAACAAGCCATTGTCTTTTAATATTTATTAGGGATTTATTACCAAAACATTCACACTCTAAATGTTCAGACCCAAACACTGACCACGTGGAACATTTTTGAACTCCCAACTGTCTGTTCCTGTTGCTCGGTGAGATAGTGTTCCGCTTCACAGCCCAGGGGTTGTGAGTTTGATCGTTATCGAAGGCACAGCCGATTTTGAGTCACAACTTCTCAGTGAAGAGATAAAAGCACCCAGAGAATAGGAACACTTGTGAAGGGTATTTGGTGGCTTGAGTATAGCTGCCTCAGTGTTCGGTGCGCTTTGTTTTGTTTTGTTTTGTTTTTGTGTGTTAATTCAGTTTTCGGCTGTGATTCCCGGAGCTCTTTCACCAGGGAGGAGCTAATGAACATCAGGGGAACAACTCCAGCGGATTTAATTCCCACTTTTCTTGCGACATCAGTGACCTGTACTTCTCGAGGACTCTGAGGCGAGCAGGTTTCAGACTCTCCCCTCTGGCAGGAGGCTGCAGTCCATCAGGACCAAAACCTCTCACCACAAAAACAGCTTCTTCCCGTCTGCAACTAGCCTCATTAACAAGGCCCGGGTCCCCTACTGACACTCCACCCTTGCAAACGATACAAATGTCTCTGCACATGTAAATACCGTTTCATCTTGTGTCGGGCTCAGACCTGGCACGTCGCACATATTTGTTGTTGATTGTCGATCTTGTTGTATATTTTTATGTTGTCAGTTTATATATTTAAATGTACACAATATTCTCTTCCGTTATGTTACTTCTGCACGGCACAGACCCAGAATAATGCACATGTATATATCTGCAATGTTGTTCTTCCATTCCATATTTATATATTTCCACATTTATTTATGTTGACTGTATGTTCTGCGTGTAGCATCTTATCACCACAGCAAATTCCTCGTATGTGTAAAACACTACTTGGCAATAAAGCTCCTTCTGATTCTGATAGATAGGCAGATGATAGATGGATGAATCTGGCCAAGTTTATTAGTGGACCAAATCCATCACAACCCAGAGTTGAGACCAGGAGGCAGAGTCGCAGTCTAACACACTTCTCTGCCCTTCTAATTCAGCAGTGACTTAGTGAAAATCCTATAGTGACGGTGTCTGCCCCCCGACCATCGAAAAATATTTAAAAAGGTAAACAGAAGAGGAGCTGTGCATAAAAACCTCATAAAAATTAAAACCACAAGAGCAATAGTGCAAACGAATAGGAGAGTTAAATGTGGACTCTAAACATCAGATCTCTCTCTTCTAAAGGTGTACTAGTAAATGAACTAATATCAGATTATGATATTGATTTATTTTGTCTTACTGAAACCTGGCTGGGTGATGGAGAATATGTTAGCCTAAATGAATCCACCCCTCCCAGTCATATTAATACTCACATTCCTCGAGGCACAGGCGCGTCAACTCGGTGTTTACTAATTCCATTAATATCTCCGTGATCATACAGCACACAGAAAAGGTCCAGATATTGCCTTCATGGAGAGATTCTCAGCTTCAAAGTCCTTATTCTCTCGAGATCGTACGTGACTCACACAACGAGCTAGGGGAAAGACAAGATGGCCTTTCACCTTGCATAATTGGTGGATTAGCCTGTCTGTCTGCATTTTGTATGAAGCTAACCAATAGACGCTCTCAAAATCACTAAGGACCCACCCATCACCTCACAGTGGGGAAAATACAGAGCTGACGAGAAAGGGGGGAAAAGTCTGCGAGAAAAACATGGAAAAAACGTATAATGTATAAAGAAGAGGATTTTGGAGAGCAGCGACGAGGTTGAGAGACGAGTTTCGGGGGTCTGACTGTTTTGATTGTTACAATGAGGAGGATTACACATAAGAGATCCATTTGTCGACGGGTAAGCGTATTTATTTTATAAAACATTGTTGGCAATGGTGCACTTAGTGCTTGGCTAACTGTGACCATCTTGGCTCAAATAAGCTGCGTCTGTGCTGCTTGTGTTTCAGTAAGTTGTCATGAACTTTGACAAATTGCGTGCCCCTTTAGTTTACTTTGTGTAAAAGTTATTTTCTTGTGTAAAACTGGGATACATTTACAAATCATAATGTTGTAGATATGTCGGCTGTTCTATGTGATATCCTTGTGATAACAAATGTAATATATCTTCACCTCCATTCACAATCTGAATAACATTATCTCTTGAAGTGATGAGTAAATATGTTTTGGCCATTGACTATTTTATCATAGTACTTGTACAGATGTGGTCTTTCATATCATTTTGTCCATTTATGTTCAGTATATACTTAAATATATATATACTGAATGAGTGTAAATAGAAGAGACAATATTCCCACATCTCATTCAGGTGTTACCTGCTTTGGGGTGGACAGGGCAGGCAGCACAGATAATAAATTGGAATAGATATAGAGAAGATTAGCTGAAGGAAAATCTGTCAAAGCCTCCACATTCTTGTTAGGTGTAAAGTGATGTGTGTGTGAGGGGGACCTAAAGGAAGACCAGAGAGGATGTGTAAACGTTCTTTCAATGAATTTGAAAATGCAAATACTAATTTGTTATTGTTTTTTTGAGAGGTTTCCCAGCTGCCCAGGGCCCAGTGAAACACGGGCAGCATGACCTGTGCCTGCCACCAGGTCACGACCAGGACCCCAACCGCAACCTGCACCCCCATCTACTCAGCAGCCAGCTCCGCTGCCTTGGAGCTGAAGATGGACAAAGACCCAGCCATCGCTCTCCATCTCCGGGTTTCAACCAGCTCGGACACAGGGCTATGCTCATAACTTACAAATTATGTAAATAGTGGGACTTTTCTGTGTTTTTTAATACATAGTTAGTTTTTATATATAAATATTGTTTAAAAGTTAAAACATGACAATTTGTACATTATGTAAATATTATCAGTAATGTGTTTTATTTCTGTGTGTCTTTTATACACATAGTAAACATTTTGCTTGTGTTGTTATGCTTATTTTTTATTTGCACACATCCCCATAAAGCTTGATATGTAGTTGGAAGTGATTAAACAGTACTGTTTTATTTCAGTCCCTCTGAAATTAGGTGAAAGCACCAAAAGAATTCATCCACATCAGTAATGGTATGTTTCCACGAGAGATCTGAAGAATTTAAAAAATCTGACTTACATTTTTCACACGTCACAACTCAAATTCACTGCAAATAAGAATTTAACAGCAGATCAAAGAGAAAAGAAGCAAAGAGACGAAACTCTGGTGCTTTTTTGACAACAGTCACTAGATGGCTCTTCTGTAGTGCTGCTGCTGTTTTGGGCTGAAAACAGCAACAGGACAACAGCACAGAACCCACAGAGACACAGCCCAAACAATATTCAGTCATTTCTAATCAGAGGAACTGGATGAAATGTTCTGATGGTGTTTTTCTCACTTGTGATGTGCTACCAAAACACAATAATGTACTAACGGAGGAAGTTCAATAAAACAAATGATCCTGTCCTGCCTTCAGAAGGCCAGCCACACTGCAGGGATTTATTATGCATGACTTCTACTT